ATCCACACCCCTAATAATCTGTAGACAGACAAAATGCATAGAGTAGTTGTTATAAATGTGCATTATATTGTTTGCAAAACCTTAGTTTAATTTACAATATGTACTTAAGTAACTGAACATTATCTTAAGGCTGCATATAGGATTAGGTGAAAATTGTTTAAGTGAGCACATTTGAGTTAAGATTCTCAAAGTTCACCAAAATTACCTGATCGAATATGACGAATATCAAAGCAAAAACCACTCTTGAGCCTAGAAAAACTTTTCTGTTTAGGGACAAGTTGTTTATTGCTAATATAGTTAAATATAGTTTAATTAATAAATAAAGTATTAAAGTCAGATACTTACATGATGTTTTGACAATCTAGTTTCAAAGCTCCAAACATTACTGTCAGATTCTACTGTAATGAAGTCCTTTGAACAATCAGCACCAAACATTATATACTGGGTTGTAGGAATTGTGTCATGACTTTCATAACTCATGCACCACATAAGTAATTTGTTTCTTTCTTACTTATTTGCTTTTTACATTGATTTTGACAGTATCTTTTATTATTTACTAAACAGCATAAAACAGCGTGCTTTTATTATGCACGTAATCCATGTACACTTGGAAATAGGTTGGAAACATTTAAATATATTACGACTACGATCAGCTGGTGAAGCGTTCCCCATTTCGTTCAATGACTTGATTTAACCTAACCTAAAAACATGTTATACAGTGTTTTGAAGACTAATTATGTATATGCTTTATAGTGGCTGTAGGAAAAATATAATGTGTAGCGGAAGTGCAAACCTTAGCTGCACTCGAGAAAATTGTCACACTCGCCTACGGTTCGTGAGTAACCATTTCTCTCGTGTGCAGCAAAGTGCCAATTTGCCCACTAGCTACACAAATACATATTTCCTACAGTTACTAAAAAGCATATAAATAATTAGACCTTCAAACACTATACAAGATGTTTTAGGTTAGGTTAAATTCAAGCATTGAACGAAATGGGAAACTGCACCAGCTGATCGTAGTCTTAGTATCTTTAAGTGTTGCCAACTTATTTTCAAGCGTAACGTATTACGTGGCTAATAAAAGTACACTGTTTTGTGTTGTTTGGTTAGAATACTGGGGTGCCGCAAAAAAATTTGTGTGGCAAAAAAAGAGTGCGGCAAAAATAAGTAAATGCAGCATAATTTGAGTGCTATAATCAGTTCAAGGAAGCCTTATAACATTTATTTGTGTCCGAAATTTTGTGTACTGGAGTCGTAAAACCTTGTTCTACATGTCAGATGGACCCTCCTTTCATTTTTAGATTTTTTGGCAATAACGGGGTTGATGATAATTAAGTTTAAGCTATAAACTCTATAATCGTCTATTTTAATAAATATATGCTAGTTTTTAGGGGAGGAATACTTGTGCTTAACTTAAAGTCAGGTTTTATGGAATTAACTAGTATGCTGGTTTTTATTAAAACCATATTTTTATAGTTAAACCTTTGAGTAAAAGCATATTTATATTTATAAATACCATTGAATTATCTTGAAAGTTTATTTATATACTGTTTTGATAGAATACAAGCTTCTATTCTAAAGATCCTTACCTTAGGTGTGCTTAGGTTCTTGCGGAATAATGCAGTAAAACAACATTGGAATGAAAACAAACATTTTATGGCACTTTAAGCAAATATTCTATGAATATTTTATCGGCCTGCTCCCACCTCGTATTTGCTGTTCTATTCAAATAAGCTCTTGTTCATTAAAATTTTAATTTTTGTACTTAATCCATACTTACAGTAATATTTTTTAAATTAAATCATATTTATACATGGACATTTTCTATAAGTATAAAAGAGGATGTTTGTATATATATATATATATATATATATATTTGTTTGGCAGTGATAAACTCAGACACCGCTGAACCGATTGCCACGAAACTTGGTACATACGTGTAGAATTTCATGGAATAGGTTTATTTACCATCAATTTCGTGATCCGTCCAATCGGCTCCACCCCAGTGGCTCTGTAGTTTCCCATGTCAACCTTATGAGAAATGGAATTCATGAATCTTAACAGCTGTTTCAATTAAACAAGTTGGTTCTGTTCTATGATGTTCAATAGCATTAAAGTTACAAGGATTACCAACAGGGTGCAGCACTATTATTTCTTTTACATTTATGACAACAGCTAATTTGCAACCAAAAGGTGAGTGAGCATAGCGAACGAACTTCAACCTGGAGGCGAGTTAGCGTAGCGAACGAGCTAACCTAAAGGTGAGTGAGCGTAGCGAACGAGCTCCAACCTAAAGGTGATTGAGCGTAGCGAACGAGCTCCAACCTAAAGGTGAGTGAGCGTAGCGAACGAACTTCAACCTGGACGTGATTGAGCCATGCAAGTGAGCGCAGCGAACGAGCTCCAACCTAAAGGTGAGTGAGCGTAGCGAACGAGCTCCAACCTAAAGGTGAGTGAGCGTAGCGAACGAACTTCAACCAGGACGTGATTGAGCCATGCGAACGAGATCATCTTGAAAATACTGTCATTAATAACCATGAATGAAAATAACCATTAATAATTAAGCTAGCATAACCTAGCATTAATATAAGAGCAATAATAAAGAATCGGTTATCCTTTGTACTATATGTGTTTCATTAGTTGTCGTACGTATTTTAATTTAGTTATAAGCACTTCATATACAATAAGACAATTAAACGTTACGGTACTTAAATTATAAATAGTCAAAGGCAAGACAACGTCTGCCGGGTTCAGCTAGTCACATATAAAGATGAATTGATTAGTTGTTAACTTCGCCAGGGATAAACACAATACAAACGAATTGCAAAGACGAAAAAACGTATGAAACACTAAAAACTGGTCCGTTCAGAATGATTGACCGCACATGTAGTAAGGGACAACATTTTTAAAATGTTTAAGTGTTTAGTATATTTTTTCGTCTTTGTAATTCGTTCCCATTGTGTTTATCCCTGACGAAGCTAACAACGGATCAACTTCACATGAAGCACCTGAAGCTGACGATGGTGTTTTAACACCGAAACATGTACTACTAATTTTACATTTGTTGAGCTGTGACAGTATTAAAGTAATTTATTCTTACATTATGTACTACAACTCAGGGCTACAAAACATGGATTTCAAAAATATTAACTCTATCCAAAACGAAAACGATTTATTATTTTTTTTCCTTATTTTGATAATGATTTATAAGCAAAGTAACCTTCAATTTGCTATAATAGATGATTAAAAATGAATATTAACATTATTTTACTTTAATTGACCCTACCACTTATCCTGAATAGTGTTCTTTTCTTTTTCAGTGTAAAGCTTTACATTGTATAACTTTTTTCTTGGAAGGAAGAAATTAAATAACTTAATGGATCTTCCCGCAAGTAAGTGAGAGACTAACTTATAACCTAATCATTGATGGTAAACTGCGAATAAGCTTAAGTAACTAACTTCAGGAAACTCTAAATTGGTAAACAAAGTTTTAAGCGTTGATACTTAATCGACCCATCACAGAGAGTATAAATAAATATCCGTTTTTAATAAGACTTTCTTAACCCTACATTTAAATCTTTTAGGTGACTGCAAGGACAGATTAAAAACAAAAATTAGCGTACTATAAAATTACAAATATACGAAGACAGAGAAAAATGTATTATCTGTTTGTGAATTGTTTAAAACAAACATCTTTGGAAAACCGTCCTAAACAGAACAATAAAGAGATGTTTGCAAACGATGTTATCTTGGAAATCATTTAAACTTTTCTAATAACTCTGAACGTCTAAGTTGTACATTTCTCCCGTTTATACTTCCCAAAATATCCAGCCTTAGCTGTAACTTACTTAGATTGTTATAAAACATTTTATAAATCAACTGTCTGTAAGGGAATTTTTCATACTGTATAGAGAATCAGCTGTTATAAAACTGACCTTTATTATCTATGTGTTTACAATAAAGCTAGCTATCACTTATGTAAGTGACTTATGTATGAGACGATTAGATTAAGTAGGTCATGAAATATTTTGGTGAGTGTGAATAAAATGTTAAGTTGTTAGATACTAACTATCAATATGATGTAATTTCCTAAGTGTACCTTATGAAGCGCCACAGCAATATTTAAGTAAATTTTGCTTGTGGTTTGGTTATATTTCGATTTATTATTATTCAGTCTAAGTTGTATTATAATAATTTATTACAGTAGGACAAAACTCACAAGAATAACCAACTTGTACGTAAGACGTAATTTAGCTGCAATCAGTAAAATAAAGAAACAAAATCCCATACAGGTTTAATTTGGTTAGGAAATAAATCATTTATCCATGCCATTTTTATACGGGATTGTAACACTGAATAATTTTATTTTGAAAAAATTCCATAGTTATCTAAATCAACGCTATACAAACTTTCTTAACCATGTAATTGCATGAAAATAATTACACAAGTTCCTACATTAAAAATTTAAAAACTGCTAATGAAAAATAATTAAATATCTCACCATACCTGATATAATTTATGTATATCAATGTAACCAATCTAACCGCATAACCCTATGGACCTGACCATAGTTTGGTTATTTGGTTATTAAATATACATTATGTAACCGTTATTCCTAGATTGTTGTCGTTTCATGCTACAAACCGGTGAACGTTTATTAATTTTTCCGAAGAGATTATATGCTTTTGTGTTTTCAATAGTTTAGTTTTTATAAAGAACAAATATAATTATGTCCTTTGATACGAATGCGTGAACTTAAACATATTTACCCACGTTAGTAATTATTGTGTTCATAGTTCACATTTTTGACAGTTTCGTTATTTTGAACACAATGATTAGCCATACTCGTAAAATAACTTATAACCAAAACCAGTCATTGTAAAACATATGTTTACTTCACAATTACACATTATACTTCTCACAAATTCATTTTAAGCATACTTATTAACTGCAAAGCTCCAAATACTTTGCGAAAACAACATTTCTATGGCAACAAATATGGTTGTACTAAAATGTCAAAATTAAAACAAAAGTTAATATTGAATATGTTATGATTCTTCTTACATCTTTCTTTCTCGGTATTTTAGTCGGTGTGTTAGTGGAGAGGCGATATCTAGGCATTACATCGTGGGGTACTGAAGAAGAGCTTTTTAGTTGTTCTTCTTTTAGTTCCTTCTCCATCGACAGACGGTCTCGCAGACGTGAAAGAGATTCTTCATCTTGGAGGATAAGGGCGACTTCTGCTCCTTCACGTAGTTCAACCATATTTAGCACAATCTCTCCATCTATGACTGCTGAAAGTGCTCCTGAAACTGTTGATGGTATTCTCAGAACTCCAAGGAGACTGAGACGGAGGGATAGGCATATGGAGTTTGACAGTTCTAGAAGTAGAGTGACTTGGGTGGATGGTAGCACAAGTACTATAAGGTAAGTGAAATTTAGACGCGAACGAGACTGAACCTCTCCATGTTGCGCTAATTGAAAGAATGCACGGTACTGTCATTTTTGCCTCTGAGTTGCAATGACTGAATCATTACTTTTTTTAACGACTCGATAACGCACGAAGCCCAGGCGTTTACTGCTCTATCGCTAAAAATAATGGCATCGTGTACAAACACACACACATTATCATGTACATTATCGTGTATAATGGCAACGACCCTCAGACGACCTGTCGCTGAACAGTGCGGTGCAGAAAATAGATCTGTTTTTGCCGCACTCTTTTACGTTTAAATCTAACTATAAACCTATAAATCAATAAATCGGAGCATTTTATCCAGGTAAAATACTTTATTGTGGTCTGTACAAGAAAACAAAAATCACAAGCTTAAATTTAAATATACTCCTCTATCTATAATTATTTTAAAATCTTACAAATAAAAACAATTAAAGTAATGTAAAGCTTTAGTTTTAATAATTCTGATGGGTTAAAATTTTATTTGAGGAAGGTAATTCAGTATGCCAGTTTGAAACGAGACCCAGCTTTTTTCGGCTTTTTAAGTACGTGATTTTGATTTTAAAACGGCCAACATACGTCAGCACACACTGGCTACAAAAGTAATTTCCATCAACCTTTATCAACCTCCAATTGTTCATAAGGATACAATGCGAAAGTTAAAGACCATACGAGATGTAGGCGAAGGGTATACAGTAACAGCCCATTATGAGGTCATAACTTACTAGTTTAGGGTGAGGTAATTAAAGCACCCCATTACAAATTTTATACTATTACCTTTACATATAAATAGCATACGAAAATACAGATTATCGTATGACATTTTAATTAAAGAGTGGGAGAGACATTTAACTTATAAAATCATATTTGACATTTCCTATTTGACAAGCCATTAGTCGCTTGAAAATTCAATCGAAAATCTGTCTCGGCACTTTTAAAAAAATCACTTTAAATTACTAGGCAATGATCAACCTTAGTGGAATCATGTTTATGAAACGTCTTGTGATTATTTTTATGATTGAAGCTGGTTTTATAGTTTTCCCCAATTCCCTATAGTTTTCAAGTATGTACTATCTGTATGTTAACAATGAATTGTGGTCCAAACAATCTCCAAATATTTTAAAGAGAATAACATTTTTAAGTTTTCACAGCTAAAGCACGCAGTATAATGCCTTTCATAGCACCTTGTTTAATAAAATTAAGTAGATTAATTGACATTTTAAGCACAGCTGTTTATACATTGTTGTATTACTTATTGTTTGACAGTGAAAAATAATTGGATTTCCATTCTATTTTTGAAAGACATGTTTTTAGGCGAGGTTTTTATACTGTATTGATCAGCTTGTGGGCTTCACTCACCTTAATTTGTTAATCCAGGACTCGTCAAATGTAACACAACGAAGACACAAACACATATACACGCACATAAAAATCGTCCTTGGATTAATTTACTCCGACGTTTCGCGGGACCAAGATAACGTCCCGCTTCCTCAGGGAATTAAAACTTTGTTTCTCTCGCGTACGCGAGCCGAACGCCTAACCACGACTGCCTGATCCGGCAACAAATTAACAAATTAAGGTGAGTGAAGCCCACAAGCTGATCAATACTGGATTTCTATTGCCTGACAATGCACAAAACATTTGTTTCATAATTCAAAACAAGGAAATACAATTTTAAATCCGTTATGTCAACAGTGGACCAGTGTTAAGGCAATACGGAAGTCTTAGACGAATGCGTCCTCACACTCCCTTACCAAGGAAATATTCAACATCATCTGTCCCTGCTACAACCAGCCAGTCTGCCTCAACCACACCAGCTAGAAGTCAACCATCGAACTTGGCTGTTCAGACTCCGATACAAATAACAAACGTAGCTCCCTCCAATCCTCATCCAGTGATTGCACCTCCTGGACGTTTCGGGTTCAAATGGTGGACTGGGAAAAGGCGACGCCCAACAACCAGGGCTCACTTGATGTTCCATTGACGAGATAAATAAATTTGTATACTTATAGTGTATAAGACTTGACTTAGAATTTACACAAATAGCTATCTTACCACAATCTTTAGTCCTAAGTTTTCATTGCCAGTGCTGACTAGATCTGTTGCAAGCGCGTCATCCCCAAATCGTGCAAGAAGTCAATGATCAAACTTGAAGCGAAAATAGTTGATGTGAATTTAGAACAACAGATGAAGGTAATATAGGCTATAATCGTCTTCAGAGAAGTCCAATGGCTATATGAATTGAAGGTAACTGTGTTTCATCAACGCATTGATACTTTTATGTGTGTGTGTGTGTGTGTGTGTGAGAGAGAGAGAGTAATAAGCTTATCGAACATTCGATTTTTAACCTACGGACATATATTTCTAGGTAGTTTTTTAAAATGAAAATATAATAAAAAAATAGTGAATCGTTTCGTCCACAGGTTTGCTGTCGCAGGGGTATTAAGGGTTACTAAAGAATTTCTTAAGCTAATAACCTTTTAAGAGATGCATTTGTATCTGCTTCAAAATTATCATGTCAATATTGTCCTTATCCAGAAAAATGATTTCATTTACGTACAGAGTAGTAACGTAGTAGCTAACTTTGACTATCTATTTTCATATCGAATGTTCACTACACATAAAGTTCCACTGATATAATGTAGTCCTTAAGTCATGTCAGCTTTTAGCAAATTTCCCATATGGAGAATAAGCTTTTACCATAAATCTCATGGTAAGACCTGGACCCAGGACCGATTTACTTTTTGATGTGTATGTTAGCACGATAAGGAAAAACAATAGACTGACACTCTCTCTCAAAAAAAAAAATTAATGATGAAATTAGGTTTAACCGTGTAAAACTACGATTTATTTGAATGAGTTCACGAACTAGTATGATCGGACTATGGGAAAGGGGACTTATGGGGGTTTTATGTGGTGAAAGTGAGGTTGTCCTATTTTTTGACCCTTAAAACATAAAGATTTGCAATTTCCTTTCAAGCAGTTTTGTAGAGCTTGGAACAACAAATCATTTTGTATATTGAAGCAGTGTCATGCCCTTAACGTATTTAATTGAAAAAGCTGTAAATTTAAACTTCTTTTATTATTCTTATAGAGAACAAGTAAACTGACGTAATTTGCTTGTTTATGAACTTATTTTAATCAAGTTTGAAACATCTTTTTATTTCATGCTATACTATTAACATTTAACTACAATACACTTTTTCCCTTTCATGTAGCAGCAAGCCTAAGTACTCGTTAAACTGATGTTTATATAAATCGGGAATAAATAATTCATTTTAAGGAGATATATTCGATAAAATCAATTAAAGCAAATGGAAATTCGCATAGTGTGCAGGTTTGCTGCAGCGTGGTTATTATTTTATTGCTATTTAGTTATTTATGTTTCATAGTCAAATAAAAAAAATATACAAGCAATTCTATAACTACAGCAAATAATTTAAAAATAATTTATGTTTGAATTCGTTAGAGTATAATTTATTTTGTTAACGTAGGTAAACTGTTATTTATCGGGTTCATGACCAAGCAAATATCCAATAATGGTCTACCTGTGATGTTCTCCTAATAAATTCAGTTCAGATCCTTTGACGTTGTTGATTGCCAGCATCGGCTCACAAAGCTGACCTACTGGATGGTAGATTTGATTATAGATTAATTTATAACAATTATAGGATACAATTAATAGTAGGAAGACCCTTGAAACGGAGAAAATTCTTGAAGTACGATTTTTATTTTGAATTATTTAGAAACAAAGTACTGTATAGTGTGTATTGGAAATAATTTATATTTATAATTTATACTCTTTATTATCCTAAGCCAATATTATTAAGCCATTTGATATAGTTTTCCGACTTAAAAATTGTTTGGTCAATTGCATATTCTTATTGACAAATATAACTATTCATTCGTCTGAAATAAGCAACAACCTAAAATGTTGCTTTTGTTGTTATTAGTATTTCATTAATTTATGGGTAATTATATTTATCAAACGAGTAAGCAAAGCTGAGATGTAATTAGTCATACTAATCCTAATTAACTGCTCAGTAGAAGTAACCTCCATCAGTCAGGATATAATCTGCACCATGTTTTCACACTAGGTATCACTGTTTGGAATAAAACTCCTGCTTTATATATTCTATATTACTAATACGCTGCATGAAACTTTGTGAACAATAAGGCTTTTTTGTTTTAGGATTTAACCCTACATATTAAATGGCAAAATGTTCATCTAGGTGTAGATTTGTAAACTGGGGCTCTGCCCCAGTGGCCTTTAAGGTTCCCATATTATCCTTATGAAGAACATATTTGTTTGGATTAAAATCAGATGGATAATTTAGTTTCTGTTAATTAGTTGCAATTTAGCTACGAACATTTACAGACTTGGTTGATATGAAATATTTCCTATTTGAATTTGGGTCGGCGTAAATATTACAATGAAAAAGGCGAGAAAGCCTGGACATTTTGATATACTAAAAAGAAAACTGAATTAACGTTGTTCTGCATTTCTGGAGCAATCATTGACAAAGCCGATTTGCAAACTACGGAAACATAGGAAAGTCATAGAAAAACCAACAAGTATTAGAGAAATAGAAACAAGAAACGTTTTTTTTATTTTTTATTTCAAATTGTTATTATAGACAACCTAATGCGGCAATGAGTGGGAAACATTTGTAGAAAACAATAAAAACCAGATCAGCTTTTGAAAAATTTTAAGATATTTACAAGAATTGTAATTATAATAATTGAACTGTTTGTAAATAGTGAGTATTTCCATAATCTTTAAGTCGACTATTTTGAAGGCAACAGATATTATGACTGTTATTAGTTACATTTTAAAATAACGTGTAATACTTCGCAATTGCGCGAATTCGAGCAACAGGTACACTAGTAATTAAGAGGCTACACAATGAATTTCAATTTCAAAAAGTAAAACACAGACAGTTCGTTTGGTATAAGTAGGCTAACTTGAATATTTTTATAAAAAAAAGAAACATTCTGCCTTAGTTAGTTTTGTAACTTAATTTAAGATTAACTTCTTTATTAACCACATCAGAGGAGGTAGGCCATTACAACAAAGTCATCAATATTTAACATAATTACTACGTTAAAACGCGATTAATATCTATAGAAGTTTGCATTATAACACCCTGTAGACACTACCGGAGATAACCTATCACATCTGTTACTGTCCAGAGAAGGGAACTATTAATGTCCTGGCAATATCCGAGGAGATCTTGTAATAGGAAGGGACCAAACCGCTGACATTTCCCATGTCTTACAACACAAATGTTTGCGACGTTTTAGTGTTGGGATTTTATAGACAAAATAAAATACTTATAAGTCATATCCAGATCTATATACTACCAGAACTACCGTTGAAAAAATATATAAAAATAAAATAAGAAATGAACTTTCTGCAAATATTTTTTCAAATACCCCCGCCGCAGCAAACCTGCCGTCTAAGCGAATTTCCATTTGGCTGAATTGATTTTCAATTGATCTATTTAAATAACATTAGCTTTAACGAGTATCTAGGTTTGCTGCTACAAGGAAACTAATGAAGTGTGTGTTTTAAGTAAAATAATTATTGCTTAGTATAAAATGAATATATTTGCCAAGTTTGATCAAAAGATATCCCTAAACAAGCAAGCTACAACATTTTACAATATTCTCCATAAGAATAACATGGGAATTTTAAATTTACCATTTTTTTTAGTTTTCTCCGTAACCAATAACCGTACAAAAACACTTTGATATACTAAATTGTTTGTTTTTTTAAGCTCTTTAAGAAGATTTAGAGACAAATTGGGAAATTTTGTGTTTTGAGGGTCAAAAGTGAGAAAAACCAATTTTTACCCCATAAAACCCTGTTCCCATGGTCCGATCATGCTGGATCGCGAACTCATTCAAGTTTATCCCGCCTTACACCTTCAAGCCAAATTTAATCAAAATCGGATAAAAAATACTCAAGTTATCTTGTTCACGGACACATATATATATAAATCTATATATATACAGGGTGACACAAAGAACCGGACGTTTTTTAAATAAGTAGTACACAGTAGTTAAAAGGAATACAATGGTTTTAATACTGTACATAGTGAGGTAAACATTTGCCATTTGTTACAAAACAGTCATTTTAGCGAATTTCCCTATAGGGAAGTAGCTATTACCGTAGGTGGCACGGTAAGACCTAGACCCGAGACCGATTTACTTTTTCATTTTGATGTCCCCAGAGGCCAAAAACACCATCCGTTCAAATTTTTATATATGTATATATATATATATATATATATATATATATATATATATATATATACGTCCGTGAACGTGATAACTTGAGTAATTTTTGTCCGATTTTGATGAAATTTGGTTTAAAGGTGTAAAGCGGGATAAACTTGAATGAGTTCGCGAACCAGCACGATCGGACCATGGGAACGGGGCTTTACGGGGGGTTTTATGGGGTAAAAATTGGTTTTTCTCACATTTGACCCTTAAAACACAAAATTTTCCGATTTCTCTTTAGAACTTTTTAAAGAGCTTAAAAAAACAAATAATTTAGTATATAAAAGTATTTTTGTTCGATTATTAGTAACGGAGAAAATTAAAAAAATTGTAAATTTAAAATTCCCATGTTATTCTTATGGAGAATATTGTCAAATGTTGTAGTTTGCTTGTTTAGGGAAATATTTTGATCAAACTTGGCAAATTTATTTATTTTGTACTAAGCTATCAATATTTTACTCAAAAACACACTTTATTAGTTTCCTTGTAGCAGCAAACCTAGGTACTCGTTAAACCTAATTTTATTAAAATATATTTAACTGAAAATCAATTCAGACAAATGGAAATTCGCTTAGTCGGCAGGTTTGCTGCAGCGGGGGTATTTTGAAAATGACGTCATGCATATGGCGGCCAAGTACTTATCTACAAATGTTCATTCTGGTCTGAAAATCATCTTAAACTCGGGTCAGGAGATCTTGT